TTTTTACACAAGCACTCCTTGCTTTCTACCGTAAAACACTTTTCAGTTTAAGTAAGACACCCATAAACCAACAATCAAATAGTACAACTTCCCCTTGTGACAGCGCTTCATAGAGGTGAATATTGTTTCGATACACGCCCATCATGTTGGAAACATCGAATAAACGAGTTGAGATCGTTTGACACAAAGAAATGACGTGGACGCAGTGTACGTTTCATAGAGCCAAGACTAACTCACTTGCGACACGCAAATAAAGCGGTCAGGAATTTCAAGCAGGCACAAAGTCAAAGCAGGAAAAAACTACTTTTCACTAATCGGAGTTACCAATGTAAGATGGGACAGCTGCTTTTTCTTTGACATTTTATCACAACTAAATTACCTGAGACATGAAGTAGTGAACACACAAAGTACTCACTGCCAAATCAAACAGTTTAATACTAAGGAATTTCCACAAACTGTAATGATTTACATGTAATAAGCTGGAACATATGTGATCTAAATGACCAAGGTGTGTAAAACTCAAATGGAGCAGAACTGACTGACTGCATCAAGCAGGCAAACAAACCCGTGACACGGCACAATTCTTAAGGCACTTAATTGTTAAAACCATCGAAATTGTTACGAATCGTTTATTGAAACTCCCATTGAAGAGCGAAACCAAAAAGCATTTACTACACCGGAAACAGCGGAGGCTCAGCTGACACGACGCCGACGATCAAGATCTTAGTAGAGCATACTAAGGCCAGGAAACCGACCAACAAACGTCGCCGCATGTCCGTCAAGGCACAAACTTCGGAACAACTTAGAAGCTAGAGTGACGAACACTGCAAACCAGCAGAAAAATACGGAACCACCATCAACAAGTATATTGAATAGGAAAAAAAAAAACGCTTACAGCTAACCTCCAAAGCGGTCACACTTTCCTACCGACATACGTAAAAATGATTTGCCTTAGCTAACGTGCAACAGCAGGACCATCGAAACTGTGAATTTCTTTAAGTGCTACAAACCGAAAAAAAGTTTGGAACTGCCAAAGTAATTAGGTCGCGCCATTTCATATAAAACCATGAACAGAAAAATGCGCAGGAACACAACTTCACCGCGGGTCATAGAGTCGTAACCAAGGAAGCTTAAAGCATGGGGAAAACTAATCAGCCCATACCACTAAACAGTAGCTCTGCGAGGCCAACTCGATCCAAAGCGCGGAAAGAGTTGTGGTTCCGTAAACAGTAAAGAACTGTCGCAATACTAGCCATGCGCATCTAGTGAGCAAGTGTAACGCCAGCTGTGGAAGTGAGGAAGCCCACCAGAGGAACTACCGGCATCTCCATGAGACTCACAAATCGTGCGATGCTTACATTTAGCCAAAGTGTGCATTCTGAGTGTACACAGACTAGAGGAATTACACTGTTTGTTAGATTACACGACCCGGAAACATTGATTCACGGTAAATTAGCAACACAGCTCCTCAGAGGTTAGACTTATCAGATGAATACACCACCCCGTACAACTCATCACTGTGAAAGAGACAGTGGAACAACAGAGGAAGTCAGGTTTCCCAGTGATTGTAAAGATCGCAAAAAAAAGGCACAATGGGACTTGAGGTACATATTTCTGACACGAAAGCTTGACCGACAATAACTAACGCCGCCACATACAAATAAAGAGGACAGAACTAAAACAGACAACTTCCATGAAAAGCACCTTTACAAATTGACGACTCGCAGGATATAACACCACCATGCACCAAATATGTTAAGCGCCAGTAAACAGGAGGGACAAATTGATCAACGCGAAATTATCAGAGGGTAGGAGATGTGGACAGTCCCTACACATCACTGGGGTGTCCGGCCAGAGTAATAAAGGACGAACACTTCGGAATCGAATTGCCCGCCTACATAACCAGGCATCCTACTTTCAGGCTAGCTCGTCAAAAGGGAGGTCCAGAAATGCAGACATACAAATCCCAGAGACAAACGCTTGGAAGCGAGAATACAAACAACAGAACCGTGGAAGAAAGCAAGCGGAGAGGAAGTAAAGTGTCTGAGGAAAAACTGGTCAACTATCATATCCTGGAGTGATCAGAAAATAGTTAAAAACAGAGTCAAACACATTTCTCCGACGAGTGCACCGACGCTCAATCGTCTGCTGCGTCATTCATGCCACGTACGAAACTAACTCCCATAACGAACATGGAAAAAGGTCAGCAAGATGCCAACACCGAGACGTACTACAACAGCCAGCCGCTATATGCTTGTGCAATCCAACACCAAGCCCGTGTTACCACGCCACCATCACCCACTCTACTGATCAAAAGCGTCAAATTAGCTACCGCCATTCATGAACGTGCATCAATCTTCCCGCTGTCTTAGCCGCTGCCAACCAAGCTAAAGGGCGTGCGCAACCGCAGGACCCCCAAGAGTAAGTTATAGACAAATCACAACGGCGACATCCTCGCGAGCTACGTGGCGCCCCCCACCCCTTAACGCTAACAGTTGGTACTGGCGTAGTTCCAACTAAATTGACATCACAGCCGCACCGGGTACGTGCCCAGCACCAACAGACACCAGCTACCACAACTGCAAATCGCGCAAACACAAAGCTAGCAACACGTACGAGGAAATAATGAAGTGAAAGTTTCAGAGACTCAACCCGCAGTTAACCCGATGGAGAAAACTACTGAGTAAGCGTAAGACGGGTAGCACGTAAAAAAGGGCCCCAGGCGAGGAGAATCCGATTGTACTCTCGCAGCGTGCTGATGCATGAACCATAGAAGGACAACCCGGAACTGCAAACGTAGACAGCAACATATCCCCAACGAAATCGAATGGAAAAAAGAACCTCCAAGACCTACGGCGGTCACATGGCGTCTCGCGTAACTGATGGGCCTATTACAAATTTCCAAAAAATGAGGCGCTGCGTCTCAACATATCACGACACCTAGGGCAAAAGACGATAGCCGAAGGTGACAGGCCGGTAGTACGCCACCAGACTCGACGACTCCAGCATTGGTACAGATGACACAAGCCACATTGCGCAACGCAGACTTGCTCATTGGCCTAAGCATTTAACCACAATGTCAACTCAAGGCATCCAAAACCTCGCCCCAACTGCGCCAATTTCAGTGCCAACAATGCTAATGGGCTAACTTACTTTCAAGCCATCAGAAGTAAATTGATAAGAGCATATTAGCGTGAACGCATGGCCACATTCCTTATCACCAGCGCGTTAAACATATCTCCTGCCTTGTAAATTTGGAGGAAAACTTACTTGGTAGCAAAACCGCACGAATTACATAGGGGTAAAAGCATAGTAAAGTATAATTTGACTAGAGGTGACGACTTACTTCTAATCAAAACACGCATTCATCGACGCTCCGCCATGTCAAGTCTATGCTATGTCACTTACTTCAATACATGAGCGCAGACGCGGATATCAGCAACTTACTTCAACAAGCCGAAGAAATGAAGAAAAGAAGGCAATATTCATAGATGGTTATCAATTACAAATAATAAGAAGCAAGCAAAAGGAAAACAAACTTTGAAGTTGAGGAATCCGGGCCCGACGATAGACCGATAACGGTTCTCCTGAAAAGGGCACCTGTATGTACAAACCAAAGTCAACAAACTTTATGAGAATATTTGCGTGGAATAATACAGTTGCGTCCGTTTAAACCAGACAAAACCAGCGTTCACAAGAGTTTAATCCGAGCCGATGCGGCTGAAATCCCATTCCTATCGGTATCTAAACGCACACTCGAGGCAGACAAAACGTTATACTTTATAAAACAAAAGTAGAGTAAGCAGGCAACAACGTAAGCATCGTAAAACGCGAGGGGGCAGATGAGGGCAAGACAACAAAGGACGTATCCATCCCCGCCAAATATGGCGCCGTCAGTAGTCAAGTGAATTAAAAACGGGAGTAAATATGAATTATGCCACTAATGCCTTTCTCTGTGATTAGATAAAAGCCCAACTTAAGTTTGACTTTATCGTGCAATTTAAATGCTGCTTTAGCTCAAAAAATTAGTACATATTTATTACAGAGAGAGTTATGGATAAGTACTGAATGCTCGCTTAAAAAGTTCCTACTTCACATAATATTTATCGCCTTTATTTAAAAAATACAATTATGCAACCCTTTGCGTTTTTCTTATTAGCTGCATATGTTCAACTGTAGACCCATGAATATTGTGGAGCGAGACTCCTCGGTCTCCGCTTCCCGATCCCTAGCGTTCCTAGACAAGCCCGGTTGGTTTACTTTGGACATCTTTATTAAAGACGACAAGATGTACAGGGAAAATACAATATTCAAGAAGGAGGGGAGCCGCAGTCGCTAGGTAAGGGAGAGGGCGATCCAGTTACCAGGTTCGAATTTTCTGCTTCCCTCCTCCCTGAAAGGCACATTAAAACAACATAAGTATTACAATATTCCTTGTGATAATGGGCCACTTAGGGGTTCTGGTGTTGCCGAGTGGTTGGTTCTCTGACCATGCCAGTGGCCCTAAACCTTTCTATACGTCGACGATGCACAGTTCAACCGAATATTTTGTTTTTGTTTTGCCTTCCGAGAAGTATTAGTGCTCTACATTAGTACTTTCTACGTTACATTACCGAAGTACAGAAGTATAATACGATAGTGGTTTATCCCTCGGTATTAGTGAGGCGCCACTTGTGGAATTGTGAAGTATCCCTCTTGTACCAGGCTGGGTGGGCTGGCCTTCGGGCCGTGCCAATAGCCCAGACACCTTCTCTGCGCTGAATATATATTCTGCCCGAGTATTGTGTCTTCTTTCGTCTTCAGGAAGTCTTGGGACGCTACAGTAGAACTGAGATTACTGTCACGGGCCAAAGGCCATACGGTCAAATAGAAGCACAAATTGCGGAGACCGAAATTTTCGTGTCGTTAGACGCAGTGTTAAAAAAACTTTCAAAGCATAACACAAGGTGTGTCTCCAAACTTTTCATTTAAAGTTGGATTGACTACATTTTGGTGACCATCACACAAGTTTTTTATTTATTTATCTTTTATTTGTCCTTGCACATGCCCTATTTCTGGGTACAAATTGGTACTTTTATGCATTTTTGAAAAGTTTTCTGGATTATTTTATGTTATGAAGACGTCCACCCTTTCGTTTTAATTAATGAATACTTATTGCTAGGTCTCTTTTAGAGTAGAATTACTCTAACTCTGTAAAAGACAAAGCTGATACCACCTACGGCATTGTGTTGGCAACTTAATGTCGCATCACACCATCCTCCCTAGAACTTCTACCCTTGCGCTAAATTGAAGAGAATTACCTTCATCTTTTGAGTAATTACCAATGATTTAATACAGGCATGAATTATGAGTCAACGTTCCTAAATGGCTCAACCGTAAACCTGACGCGACCCGTATTTGTGGGGTTCATGTTACCCTAACTTCTTGACAACTGTATAATCCAGGATATTGATAAATTCAATGAAGCAAAAGAGGAAAGCGACAATCATGAAGATGTGGAAAACGTGTAGACAGTGCCACGCATATTTCTGATCCCCACAACGAAAAGGGAGTACTGCATCAGCAAGTGTTCAATAATGCCAAGTAGACATTCTATTTCCCTACCATGTTTGCGGTTAAGGCATAGACTCCCTAAAACTGATCCAGAATAACTATTTGGGAATTTTTACAACAAAAATGAGATAAGCACAGAAATTTTCGTGACAATTTCATTTGTTAATATGAGCACAGCCAAAAACCCATAACCTTTTCGCAATGCATTACAAGCTTGCAGCGGACCCTCCCTTTATACAGCATCTTGTAGTCAGAAGCAAATACCTAAAGCTTGAGCATCGCCGCCTATGTTTCTCTTCCATCTTCCGGATTTTCACTTCAGGTGTGATTAATTGAAGCCAAGAAAGGATGGTAGATAGCTGACAGGAGGCATGCGAGTGGAATATGGATATGGAATCCAGCATTGTCTCGAAATACCGGAAATGGTACTTTCTCCCGACAGATTTTCTACCTTGAGGGAGAAACCTTACTGGCATACTTCAGTTGACATCGTGTTGTATTGAGTAGGCGGAGCTCAACCGCCAATATCTGACCTTCATGCACACTCACATACACATATGCACACACACACACACAGCCTGAAGCAAAATGGGCATTGAAAGTGCGGGGTGAGTAGCAAGCGAATTGCCTGTAAATAACCGAGATGTTTATTTACCCAATTTTGGATATAAAAGATATTTCTTAACATAGAGCAACCAACAAACAAAATAAAGTGGATGGTGCACCCTTACAGCGTACATGCAAGGAGTTAAGAATAAATCCATTGGCTTAGAGGACTGTCGTAATCCGGTGACACAATTGGGATATACTTGCTTTGTGGTTCCCACAAATTTTTTATCTCCCATTAAGGCCACGGGTGTAAACCAATTGCCTCAACATCACCAACGCTACACATCAGTGAAATGCCTTTTTTGACACAGCAATTTCCAAGCTTTGAATTGCCTTTACCACGCTTGACCAACAGTCTATGCTATGCAAGTTCAAAATAGGCGGGAAATAGAACAAACAGGAAAAAGAATGCCTCTGATGGACACACATCCATGGTACACAATAATGTGTGTAGGCACTCGCATCCACTTTATAACTGACAATTGAGTACAAGCCACCAAAGGAACAATTTTTGGCCACCTGATACATGTCCTGAAAAAAAAACTCCATTTAGCCCACACATAGATGTCGTGATCGTACGGCCCTGACATTGTTAAATCCATATGAAATGGATTGAAATTGAATACATTTAACAGCCGGCGATAAAAAGTCGATTGAGGGTTCACAAATTTCACTAGCTTCACACGTTTAATCGTAGGGGCAGGCAATAATGATGGGTGAGCTGACATACCTCTCCCCACCACTTTTTACGAATTTCCAGTTCATTAGGGAATTGTACATGCGTATTTCAGCTGATCTGTGTAAGAGCGAACGTAAGATAGGAAAGCACACGTATCACTTATCCAAGGAACTAGTGATTTATTGGTCAAGGAAAAGTTTTCCAAAGCAGGAAATGACAATTACAAATATGAGAATAATTGTATGAAGGAATAAACTGTGAAAGACGTGTCAACGGTGCTAGAAAATACAAGTTCTTCACACTGGTAAAATGGAAGGTAAAAGGTGAAGAACAGCAAGGTTAAAGTCAGGAGTTCAATGAGATAGTCGGACGCACATAGATATTGTCTCCTGTTTGAAGCCATTGCGTTCGTAAAAGGCCACCTTATCAGAGTTACAATCAAGCGAAATCTTATAGCATCCCTGCGACCGGCCAACTTCGATTAGAACAGAAACCAATCTACAAAAGAATCAAAATGACAAAAAACTGGACTAAGAAAAAGGTAGCTTAAGTCAGAAAACAACAAAAAGCTGCAGCCACTATTGTAACTATTGCGTGGCCTTAAAATGACAGACAAAAACCACCCATAATATCATTGAAGCGTTCAAGACAATGGGCACTCACAGCTTCCCAAGACCTTTGCTACGGTAAGCCTCATCGATCACAACATCCTCAATGTGGCCACGCTATTAAGTAATAAAAAAGAAAAGATTCCAAACTTTAGAGCGATTATGGATCATTTTCAGCTCGACAAGTAAAGTCGCACATCCAATCAATTTACGGAGAGGCAAATCTTCCAAAACAACTATGAAGTATGTGTTTGGACGGGAAGTGAATTCCTTAAAGCGGCCTGAAAATAATGACAATATCACTACTTACATTCAAATTCCTCTTTAGATATATCTCCCACAACGGTTAGCTGCTTCAAAAGGTGCAAATAATCTAAAAGTTATTAGAGAGGATTTACGTGAATACCATAGTCAGTAGACTTCAACGGCCTTAATAAATACTGAAAACCGGTAGGATTAGTGTCTGTTGTAATGTTTTTGGCTTGCAAAGCAGCATCAAGGCCAAGATCTTGCAGAACAGAAGGCTCGAATGCAAGAGACATATGCAGACACGCGAGGATTCAAAGGAACGCGAAGAACAATTAGCCGTGCTATGATCAGTTAGAGAAGATTAAAAGAAATATTCTTATTCGGCAAATATAACTCTCACTAACATTAAAACATAAAACAACGAAAAAAATTTTAGAGGTGCAATGTATTACCATAAAAATCGATAGCAGATAACTATATCCAAACGCTAGCTGCTTCCAATTGCAAACATTCTAGTTTGAAAGGAGCCATTTTGAGAAGGGCCCTCTTTGCGTTTTCTCAGTTAATCAAATAAAGACTAACCGTCATTACAATCAAGAGATTAGCAATCCTAAAATAAATCTTATATTTCTCTTAATATGAATTATGCAATTTGGAGTTATTATGTAATACGAC